TCAGTCGGGAAGAGTGCAGTGGGCAGAACACCAGCTACCAGCGGTCGGTGAAGCGACCATGCAGTGGCCAGACATCAGCGATCGTCGAACAGGGCACAAGCGACCGGCGGTCAGGGCACAAGCGACCAGTGACCGGAGGACGAGCGGCCAGCGACCAGTAGTGAGAGCACCAGTGACCAGTGATCGGTGAAGCGGCCGGCGATGTCAGGAGACGGGCCGGCCGTTGGTGCCACCGGCGCGCTGAGGGACCGGCATGTGGCCAACATGCTGCGAGCCTGTGGCCAGCACATCGGACTGGTGGTCGACCGTATCGCAGAAATCGCCTTCGCCAACGATAAACAGTACACGTTCATGAAATGCCAAATGGAGGAACAGACTGAAAGCATTCAGCACTTTTGTCGTCGTCCACTGTTGCACGAACTCCAGAAGCGCTACACCCAGTGTGACTGTTCTCCATTCGGGCGACTGCTGGTGACGAGTGTGGCCACATCGGGCAGTTCTGCCGAAAGGCTCTACCAGCCACCGCGACCGCCGGTACATCAGACGCCCTCCGACGCAGACAGAATGATCGAGCTGGGCCCGGTGCAGTGGGCGTTCCCTGCCGACACAGCGGACAGCCCGGCGCACGACGGAGACCGGCCTGGCACCGGCCCGGCACCGCGGCTGCACATCACCGACACAGAGAACCCCGGCTTCGTGCTGCTGCTGCAGGAGAAACGTGCCAGCTGTCGGCACTCGGAGCGGTTGGCCTTCCGGGCGGAGCACGTTACCCAGTTGCTGACCGACTACCTGCGATTGACCGCTTGTGAAGCGGTCACGCGGCGCGCTATAAACGGCCCGGCCTGTTCCTACTCAACCGCTTCAGACACGGCGTTCCAAGTGACTGAGTACGACGACGTGCCGTGCCTGCGGATTCCCGTGTGGTGGTTCTCTGATGAGTTTTTCACGCGACAAAGGCGTTACGGCTGGCCGCCGCAGGCCGTGCTGGATGACATACGCCAGTTCGGTCTGCACCTGGTGCCGGTGGGTGCTCCCGGGAGTCGCTCGCAGCAGATCGAGTGGCGGCTGTCCTTCTCCCGAGCAGAGCTGGTCGTCGTCTCTGTGATGACGGACATCCAGAGGTTTGTTGTCGTAGCGTTCAAGGTGTGCAAAGCAGCACTAGGAACGGATGCCAAGGTAATCAAGTCGTACTACGCGAAGACGGCAATGTTGTGGTTATGTGAACAGACGCCAGCACATGAGTGGACGAGTGTCACGAGCGGCTTGCGGAGGCTGCTGGACTTCCTCGGTGAGGCTGTCAGCGAATGCAGCCTGCCGTGCTTCTTCTGGAGCCGCATCAACCTCCTGCGGTCCGTCAGTCGGGCCGACAGGAAAGCGATGAAAAGGTCACTGACAACCATCCGCAAACACATGATCAGCTTTTTGACTCAGGAGTTCTGTGTATTTGATACGTATCTACATAGGAAAATGACAGAGAGGACCGGGCAAACAACGGAACACCAGGTGCGGCTACGCCTAGCCCGCTGGCAAATACTGGTCAAATTACGAGACGGAATAAGAATGCACATATCACTTACCACTGCGAAAGGTCTTAACAGCCTGCTGCCAGTGCTCCTGAGAACTTACACGCCGGACGAAATAAGCGGCCTGTTGGGCAGATTCAATCACTGGCGCATTGTGCACAATGGCCTATACCGGGCTCTGAGCGTTGCCCCAGCGGAGGTGGTCGCGCAGGTGCGGCTCTCATTCAGCCCTGACGGTGGCCTCGTGTGGGACGCGGCGCCACTGTTGGCCCTCCTCAGCGCAGAGGACATGCGCACCCTGCTGGGGGACCCGGACGCAGTGCGGCTCTGGTTGCGACGACAGAGCCGGAGGCCGGCAGCCGAGCGGCCTCCTGGGCTTCCAACCGACCTGAGCTCGCCGCGCGACCGCTGCCGCCTGCTGCTCAACATCCCGCAGCTCTGCTGGGTTCTCAGCGACAGCGTCCGCTGGAAGTGGGATGCATACCGGCGACACGCTGAGCAGCTACCTATGGCTCTGACTAGATATGTAGCTCCGGCGGAGGTGGCAAGGCAGTCTGTACTGCGGCGTCTGCTGCAGGTGGAGCTCGGGACGCTGGAGGAAGACCTCCACACCGAGCTCCGCATGGACCGCTCGACGGCCGCGTCCACGGCCCACAGGGTCCGCGACGCGATGCACCAGATGTACAGCCACCCCCAGACGATATTCAGCTACATGAGAAGCCTGCCGGACTCCTGGCGGCTGCGGCACTTGCTGGCCACCTGACTGCGAACGCTGCAGCCGCCCGCCAGCGTCCAGAACGATAGGGACTGTGCAAGCCGCAAATCCACATGAACCGTTACGTCATGTTGCATGTGGCACCGTATGGGCTCGGTCCACGCCGGGTTAGCTATGTGTGCGATTGTTTCGCCGTTATAGCCGTCATAGCGACGTATAGTCGTATCGTATAGTATTACAGTCGTCATAACGACTTATCAGCTGATACCCGATACTTCTGTTTCTGTGATCGAGGAACGGGATGATAAAATGTGTCGTACGGCGAGGTGAAGCCGTGCCATACGGCTTCGCTCGAGACAGGATTTGATGTTCATTCGTGATGCACGCAAAGGGAATTTGAACAGCATGCATTTTAGCGAAGTTCGTTGCATCAAAACAATACGTTACATATCATAACAATATAGCCATTACTAGTTAAACGCAATGACATATGAACATGCTGTGATTTGGTGTGTGGTTGGATTGCCCCTGAATGAATTAATACACTTGCTGGAAGGGATCGAAGTTGTTGGCACATACTCATTATGCCGTGTAACATTGTTGCACGAAACTTAACTTACTCTCTCACACTAACACTTATGATGATGATTTGGGGGTTTAGGGCGACCAGACTGCAATGGTCATCAGCGTCCACTCACTCACACTTACCCTCCTACTTACTCTCTCACTCTCTCAAAGCGCTCGTCTGTCTCACCTGAGTGGCGAAAAGTGCAGTTTCAGCGTGCGGCTGGAGACGAGCTGCATGGCCGCCGTGCTCGTCTGCGGGCTGGTGTCGCTGCTCTCGGAGAAGTGCAGCTCCACCAGCAGCTGGAGGCCGGCCCGCTCCAGGCTCTCCACCAGCTGGCGGACACACAGCCACCGTCAGCTGGTACCAGCGCCGGCACGGCGGCACGGCGGGGCAGCGCCGGCACGGCGGCACGGCGGGGCAGCGCCGGCACGGCGGGGCAGCGGGGCAGCGCCGGCACGGCGGGTCAGCGCCGGCACCGGGCGGCACGGCGGGGCAGCGCCGGCACGGCGGGTCAGCGCCGGCACGGCGGCACGGCGGGGCAGCGCCGGCACGGCGGGTCCGCGACGGCACCGGGCGGCACGGCGGGTCCGCGCCGGCACCGGGCGGCAAGGTGGGGCAGCGCCGGCACCGGGCAGTGCGACCAAGATCCGCTCAGTGTTTGGAGGATTAGCATCGACAAAGCACAGGCCTACTAACCTTATTGGCATCGATGACGAGGTGCACCTTGAAGCTGAAGACATCCTCCAGCACCACCTCCTCGTTGCGATAGAGGATCTGGAAGGTCTGACTGACGGCACGCTGTTGATCGGTGCGCGCCGCCGCCACCGCCGTGTGCGCGTGCGCGTTGGGCGACGGCTCTTCGCATGTCACCTCAATCTGGTGGAGGAGCTTGGGAGATACCTGAAGACAGGCCTGGACCTGGTACAGCCTGCCAGCAGCACAAAATGAAAGTGGTCTGACAGACTGAAGCTATACCACCTTTTACAGCTAAATCAAAATTTACTAACATGATGACCAATTGCAAAATAATCACAAGGCCTAAGAAATTGTTTGACAGAATGTCATATCCTACACATGTTCAATGTAAAAACTGTTAGAGAGAACACTAATCTTCAAGTAAGGTACCTTTCTGGAGCCAAGGGACACTGTCTAACAACTGTCCACGGGCAGGTTCACCAGATCTGAGTTCTGACCCATAATCATTTCAGGAGAAGTTCATGTAGGTATGTTTAGCTGCAGGGTTACTTTTACAGGAAAAGTCGAGAGGGGGAATAAAGTTCGGGGCAAGGGCGGATCCAGGGGCATCTGAAAGGGAGGTCCAATGCTATTAGGTTGCAGAACCTTACCTACCCCCAAATCCTACTTTCTCTCCGGATTCTGGCCACTTTATAGGTATTGTTAGGTTGCCAAAAAAAAGCTAAAAAATATACGTAGGTACCTACCTTGGCGGTAAGGGGCGGGGGAGGTCCCAACTTGACTGCGCCCTTGCAAATGTCAATCAGTAGTATCAACCTATTACCCTGGCCAAACATCAAGTAGCGCCTTTCTAAATAGAGAGAGGTTAACACGTGACTATTTTTGCTAGGCCAAGACCGATTGAAGGACCCTGGTTCGAAGGAAGACCCTTGGTTCGGAGAGATCATGACCCCCGTCCGCCGCCGGTTTCTACGCCGACGCATGTAGCAATATGTCAGTGATTGCTAAGAGACGGAAGAGACAAGACAAGAGACGGTCCCACCGACCATCCGATCGGTATTGGGTCAAATCTGGAGTTCCCGCTGCACTGAACGTAAAATGGTTGAATGGAACCTCAAATTGAAAATTATCTAAGCGCCAGCAACGGTGATTGATGACTAGCGTCTGATCAACGATGATTATAGACAGGGGTGTAATTTTCCCCGGGGTGCCCAGCTGTAGGGGCGCCATGCCGCTTAGGGGACGTAGGGGCGCCAGAAGGTTACAAGGGCGCCGAGAGACCATGATAAGGGCGCCATTCTCCCAGAAGGGCGCCAATAGATTAAAATGCTATATGATCTAGGGACGCAGAGAGGTCAGAAGGGCGCCGCACAGTCAGTAATGCTAAGTTGGTAGGGACGTAGGGGCGCCAGACGGTTACGAGGGCGCCGTGAGACAATGAAAAGGGCGCCATTCTCCGAGAAGGGCGCCGAGTGATTGAAAAGGTTATATGGCCCAGGAGCCCTGAGAGGCCAGAAGGGCGCCGAACAGTCAGTAGCGGTAAGTTGGTGGGGATGTAAAGGCGCCAGAAGGTTACGAGGGCGCCGTGAGACCATAAGAGGCGCCATTCTCCCAGAAGGGCGTCAAGCGATTAAAAATGTTACATAGTCTAGGGGCGCTGAGCGGCCAGAAGGGCGCCGAACAGTCAAGCACGGTGACTATAAATACAGTCAAGGGATGCAAAGTGGACAGAGACATAAGGGCGCGAGATGGTCAGGAGGGCGCCGTTGGACCATGAGAAGGACGTAGTGCTGTCAAAAGGGCGCCAAGTGATTAAAAATGCTATATGATCCAGGGGCGCAGAGAGGTCAGAAGGGCGCCGCACAGTCAGTAATGCTAAGTTGGTGGGGACGCAGGGGCGCCAGACGGTTACGAGGGCGCCGTGAGACCATGGAAAGGGCACTATTCTCCTAGAAGGGCGCCAAGTGATTGAAAGTGATTGATTGAAAACGCCATGTGGTCCAGGGGCGCTGAGAGGCCAGAAGGGCGCCGAACAGTCGAGGGATGTACGGTGGACGAGACAAAGGGCGCGAGACGGTCAGGAGGGCGCCGTTAGACCATGAGAAGGGCGCAGTGCTGTCAAAAGCAGCACTGTCCCGTAGCTCAGTTGGTAGAGCATCGGACTCCCGGTAGTGAGAGCCCGGGTTCGAGACGCTCCGGCGCTCGATATTTGAGACTCCTGACGGGGATGGTCTGCGGTTGGTGGGAGCAGCCGCAGCCAGTTGAAGTCAGTTGAGTGGGACAGGCCGTGTCCGGCTTTGAAGGGCACGTTAAACTTTGGCATCTAAATTCTCCCGTTACCCGGAATTGCGCGATCGGACGGTAGGGGTCGGGGTCTACGCAACAAGCTCTGCTTAGCGTGGGCTCCGGCTCTGTCAATCCGTCCATTCAAACATTCGAGCTAAATTTATAAAAAAGGGCGCCATTCTCCCAGGGCGCCGAGTGATTAAAAACGCTATATTATCCAGGAACGCGAGGCGGTCAGGAGGACGCCGTTAGAGCATGCGAAGGGCGCCGTGCTCTCGGAAAGGGCGCTTGTAACATAAGACTTGTGAGTTGTGGGTGCATTTTCATAATTGTGGGGGCATATTTCAGGATTGTGGGTGCATCTGCCCCCACAAAGAGATATAAAATTACACCCCTGATTAGGTATAGAATATGAGTAGCGAATTGATTGAAAATGGGCTCAAAAGTAAATTTGAAAGGGGGAAATTCCCCCTTCCCTCCCTAGCCGTTCACGCACAATTTGAGAGGGGGAGCGGAATTTTCGAAGGGGGGAAATTCCCCTGTTCCCCCCCTTTAAAAGTAACCCTGTTTAGCTGACCGCCCGGCCTAGTGGTGAAAAGTTAATGTATCACAATTAAGAATGGCATGACATCAAGATAATGGCCACATCTTTAAATACAAAATCAAAATTCTATTGTATCATAAAAGCTGCACTAGCTGGTATAACTCTCTATGAAATATCATCCAAATAAACAAACAGGCTCAGGTGGTAAGTTTCAGTCTAGCCTCTAGGTGGCAGTGGATTCAATTACCAAGTGTTTGTTTTGTTGTGTCTCATATTACCTATAGCACACTGCTGCCCATATCTAACCTTTGAACACAAGTACATACATGCATGCCATGGCAGGATTAATCAAACTGGTGAGGTAGTGTAACTCCTTTTACTTACCCTCGTTGGAATAGGTCGACATTGAAGAACTTGTGTAGCTCAACTGAGATCTCAACTGTGGCTTGAAGTTCTCCCATGAAATGCACACTGTACATAAGAAAGGCAAGAGTTTAGTAGATATATTTAATATTACCACCATTGTGTGGAGAATGACTGGAGATTATCGCTTGGGTGAATGCAAAGTTGAAGTAGAATAAAGCTCAGGCTACAATAACAGTCAGATTTCCCTTTACTTTTCCTACTTCTGCATTTCTGATTGACCCCATTCTAAAAAAATGAGCATACTTTGATGACATGACTCGTGGGCCTGGCTAGTGGCAGCTAGCACCCAATTACTGCTTGATGGCACAAAGTGTCAAAAAAAATTAAGGAAAATTTCATTTTCACCATTAGTGAGGTTAGAATCGAGTAGGCAGTTTTGTCCGTAGAAGCTATGCATTGGGCACATTGCAATGCAAGCTCAACAGCATGAAATCACCACTGTTCTAGTATCTAGCTCCAAAATGCACATATGAAAATTATTGGGAAAAATCACGGGTTAAAATAAGTGAAAATTTGACTTTCTCAGGCTTTTTTGCTCGTTTCACTGGCTAAAAAGCATCAACCCAAGACTAGCTTAAACCGTACATACCAACCCAAGACAAAACAGCGACAATATCTTACACAGAGCAACGTTGTAGTTGAAACTATTTAAATCTCAATTCCTTGATTTTCATCTAAATTGTTTACTTTGACTACTGGACTTAAATGGAACTGACTGACAATACAAAGCAGACAGTCCAAATCAAGCCAAAGCTCCAATTTATTATGCATTTATTTCCGGCCAGAATTGAGCTGAAGTGCGCAGCTTTTGAACCACAACAAAAGCTGCCACTTTGCCCGTAAATATGGAAGCACATGATGAAGAAATGAAGGAAATTACTTCTGCCAAACGTTTAGTTGCGTTTAGGGACTTTTAAAACATAGATACCTACATATAAAGACCATTGCGATAAGTTGATATTCAGGACATCGTTCTGCGGTCACATACGTAACTATCCTGATCCACGGGATCGTAGAGCGAAAGACACCCTATCGTATCGATAGTGAATGTGTACAGACTGTCGACAGCCGTACAAAAGAAGGAATATCTCCAGACAAATTGAAGAAGCTAGCTAGACTGTCATGAAGTATACTGGTGAGCGCTTAGCATCCTAAAACCGTAAAGGATACCATAATAACCAGTATCTGCTCGCATACAGTAAAACACTCATCATATTGAACAAGTTTATTCTCACTTCAGAGTTCGAACAGAGTCGGAAAAATAATACGCTTTATTAGTCACAGCTATTAAAATAAGTCCCCAACCACAGCGTGATATTATAGTGCGCGGACGCCGTCACCGACACCGCGTTTATCCCTGAGAATTCGAAAGTCTGGGTGCGTCGACGCACGTCCGGCTCTCACAGGGGCGGTAGGTAGTCCCTCTGCCTCATCACTCGCCAGGCGTGCTGCGCCGACAGGGGCAAACACGGCACGGCAACGGTAGTGAGCGCACGCAGCAGATACAAAATATCACAGGACGAACGGGCCGGGCGGCCGCCGACCGCTGCCGCGGCCAGGAACGGCGCTCGCCGGCCCACCACTCTGCCGAGGGCGGCGGGGAGCTCACCGGCCCACCACTCTGCCGGGAGCGGCGCGGCGCTCACAGACACACCACTCTGCCGAGAGCGGGGACCCCTCGCCGGCCCACCTCTCGGCCGGCGGCGGGCAGCTGGCGCGCGGCGCCGGACCGGGCGGACGGCCGCTAGGTGTCGCCTCGGCCGCGCTGCGCCGGCGCCGACGGCGGGCTGCGCGGCGACAGGGACACACAGGCGTCTCCGACAGCCAGCTGATGGCAGGCCAGGCTGTACTGCTGCAGACTGCGGCGCGGACTGCACGACGCCCAGCCGCGGTGGAACACGAAGAACGGATGCTCCAGCTGAGCCTCCACCGTCACCTGCGCGGCACACAGTGAACGTTAGCATCCAACACGGGTGCGACCGCGGGCCGACGGCCCACACCTGCCACTCCAGGGAGAAACGGCGGGCAGGCGACGCCGAGCCACACGCACGGGTATCAGCAACGCCTTAACCGTCTGAGCCCGACATGATAACACCGGGCTTCGATATCAGCCCCAGCCACCACGCGTCTGCCGCCTGGCTGTTATTCCCTAGTAGTTACGTTTCTCGACCAATGAACGCCACCTTCACCTATTTCATCCGCAACGGTTTCATCCCCATCGGCCGCTCACTGCCCACCCTTTCCGCTTCAGTTCGTGATTCGGCCGCGGTGTGCTCTAAGTCTATCCTACCACTAAACACCCGCCAGCTATGTACCCTGTCCAGCCATCCTCTCCGCCTAGTGGCCTGCCCTGTGGTCGCTCGCCACTTCCCCAGTCCACCAAGTAACCCCTGGTCGCTCGCCACCCACCTCCGTGCCGCTGGGACCGACGGCGAAGGCGATGTGTGCGGTGGCCCCGAGCTGGTCGATTCGCTTCACCACGCTGCGGTCCAGTCGCAGCTCGGCACACCGGTCCGCCGACGACTCAAAGTCTTCGGTGCGCAGCTCCTCGACCCGCTTCAGCCGGCCTGGGAACCGGGGGAAGCAAATAGTGGTCAGACGACTTTCAGTGGTCAGTGGGTCAGAGGGTGGTCAGGGTCGGTCAGTGGTCAGAGGGTGGTCAGGGTCGGTCAGTGGTCAGAGAGTGGTCAGGGTGGGTCAGTGGTCAATCAGAAAACAGTCACGGTAGACGAGGAACAGTCGGTGGACGTTAAATCGTTAGGGGAAGGTCGGTCAGTGGTGGGAAGATGGACAGTAGTTCAGGTCATGCCCCATCGAGAGCTGTGTGGGACGGACTATATGAGACCATTCACACTGGCAGGTCGGTCAGTTCAAGCACAAACAGATAAGATACGCGAGTCCCAGGACAGGAACAGAAACGCATCGGGTAGTCGGCGCACAGCACCGGTCAAACAGTGTTCGGACGGAGGGAATCGCAGGGAAGAGAGGCTCAGAAACAGGCGGCGCAGGAAGCCTGCAAAAGCGCCAGGGCAAATTGCTGACCGGGAGAGCTTCAGAGCTGGTGAAAGAAAAAAACACGGAAAAGAATATTTGCGGATGGAGGGATGCTGGAAAATGTTAAGAAATAATTAAGTGAATCGTTGGAACCGGAAGTAGTGCAGCTCAAGCATCACCTATAAATCTACTGGCAGTGCCAACCAGCTGCAAAAATAGCAGGTTGACATTCGTCTCGAGCAGATCTATTTCGGTTGGAAATGAATTGCCGTAAACTGTCCTCTTTGGTTTGCTGAGAGGCCCTTCTCGGAAGGAGGCTGAGCCAATCTTAGATAGGACATCGGCTTTTGGAGCGCGGCAATGATTACAATTTACAAGATAGCATTAGCGATACTGAGATTATTCGCCATAAGAACAGACCATTCACGGGTCAGAAAAACGTCATTTCGGTATATTTGAGGGTCTATGGACGTGACATCCGTTGTTCTCCGAAATGTTTCAAGCTGCTGTTGCTCGGAGCACGACCATGTCCCCTCCCTGACAGCATCTATACCCCCCCCCCCCCGGGCGCCTACTCTGCCCAGCCTCTCCTCAGCCCCCCCCCCCCCCCGGCGGGCGGCGGCACAGACGGCCTGACGCCAGCCGCTGGCGGGGCCGTGTCTGGCTCAAAGGTCAGCCGACCCAGCCAACACCGCTCGGAGTGCGATGCGGGCGACATCCGACCACGTGGGCTGTGGCGTGAGGGGAGCTCCAGGGAACCGATCTCACGCCCACAGCCCGGAGGAGGTGGGCAGTGAGACAACTAATCCAACAAGCTCAGAGGCGCAAGGTACGTAGCGGTGTTAGATCCATAGTCTGAAGCCTTGGTCTCAGTTAAAATCACTTCTGACATCAGGTAATAGGTATCATGGTCACCTTCACAGTCACCAATAACTTATCTAGAGCAAGTACTTACCGCTGACTACGGTAAAAAATAGTCTGCCTACTGATTACGTTTAGTAATAAAGGTACCAAATCACCGAATCTGCATTGAACAACTAACTAAGGAGCATATCACACTTACTAAGACACAAGCCTGTCACATGAGAATCGCAGTTCCTGTCAGACTTCCTTTCCTCCTTTCCCTCCCTCCGCCCAGACAGCTCAACATCCAGTCCCAGTCCCGTGGCCGTCTGCCGCCCGCCCACTCACCGTCTGCCAGTTCGATGAGCGAGCCGCAGCGGAAGTGCTCGGGCGGCTCGTAATGGTCGTTGCTGACTGCTGACGGCGTCTCGGCCTTGCTGCGGCCGACAGCGGCGGTGGCGGCCGGCCGCTCCCGGCTCGCCTCCAGGCGTGCCCGTTTGGCCGGCGGCGGCAGCTCGCTGGTCGACTGTGTAGTCAGCATACGCGGCGGTGGAGGCGGCGGCGGCGGCGGCGGCGGCAGCTTAGGAGGCGGGGGCGGGGGAGGCGGCGGTGGCGGCGGGTCCTCGGCGGCGCTGTGCCGGCGCCGTCCGTTGGCCGAGTAGCCGGGGTTGGGCTGGACGGCAGAGGACGCGGCAGAGCGCGGTGGCGTGCCGGCCGCCGGCGGGGGCAGCACGCCGCCCACGTGCGCCGGGTACTGGGCCGGCACCCTCAGCACGCCGTCCTTGCCGGCCGCCCCGTAGCCGCGCCCCTCCTCCGGCCCCGGCCGGAACGACGGTGGCGCCGCTCTGGTGGCCGCCGGTGGCGCCACCACCCGCTCCTTGCCGACCGACTGTCGGAAGTCGACCGGGTAGAGGGCGCGCGTGTCGGCCGGCGCGGCGGCGGGCAGCGGCGGGTAGACCGGGTACCCGAAGCCCGGGTAGACGGCCTGCGAGGTGGCCGGGTAGCCGAGGTGCAGCAGCGAGGAGGAGTTGGCGACGCCAGCGTGATGGTAGGACGGGTAGAGCGCGGCGGCGGGCTCGGCGGCGGCGGGCGGCGGCGGCTTGAGCGCGTCGCGCCCAGCGCTCATCAAGCAGCCGAGCGGAGGGGGGAAGAGCGGCGGGAACGGCGGCGGCAGGCGGGACTCACCGGCCGCCAGCGGCGCCGACAGCAGCATGGCGGCACCTGCAGACACACAGACACATACAGTCAGGCACAGAGCATAGATACACACACATACAGTCAGTCATAGAGGACAGATACACACACACAGCGTCAGTCACAGAGCATAGACACACACATGCAGTCATACAGGACAGATATACACAGACACATAATCGTCAGTCACAGGGCAGAGACAGCCAGGGGGAAAACCACGGAGCAGTGCCGGGGCGGGGGCCTGACACGGGTCGATCACGGGGCGACAAGAAAAGCCGCGCTCACATATCGCTGCACACGGAGACGGAGCACGCCGCACAGCTCGCGTCGCCCCTCGGCGGCGGAAGAGAGTCGGTGCCGGGGCGGGATCGATGGTAGCGCGGCTGGCGAGCCGGGACAAACACAGACCCCCGGCAACAGCGAGCGAGCGAGCGGCAGACGCGGGGCGGACGCCCACCGCGCAGCAGCCGCCCCATTCAGCCGGCGCCGGCCGACGACACGGCCGCGGCGGGCGTGCAGAGCCCGGCGCCCTCCAGCCGACCGACCCCCGGCGACACGGCCGTGCCATTCACATGTGGCCGCTGTGAGGCCGGCCGGCCGACGGTCGGCGGCTGGCGGCGGGCGACCGCTGCACGGCGCCGGGGTCAAACACTCGAGCCGCCGCTCCCGGGAGCCGCCGCCGCCGCCGTTTCTGGATCAATGCGTCTGGGG